ATGGGAAAGCCAAGACGCAACCGGTTGCGACTTGGCTTTTCCTTGCGAAAACAACAGCATGTACATGTTTGTACAGGAAAAGCCAAGACGCAACCGGTTGCGACTTGGCTTTTCCTATAGAAACCAACAGACAGATGAAATTGGGCAGGTCATGTACATGTTTGTGTAGGAAAAGCCAAGACCCAACCGGTCTAGGGCTGTTTGAGGTCTTGGATTCTTTCCTTTGGCACCAATTCCACCTACAGACTAAGTCCTTATAAGACCCGTCCGACCCTGAATTAGGCTGTTAGTTTGTTCGGAAAAAAGCATAGATTCAGGGTGGGTCTACCGTTTCGGGTGAGGGTCTGGAAGGTTCAGGGTCTCGATTCTTTTTTAAACGAGGGTTTAGTGTTCCGGGCTTCTGGTGTTATTTGGCTTCGGGTCTATATAGGGTCTCTAGGGTTGATAAGGCCCAAGCTGGAGGGTCTTACCGTTTTCGTTTTTTGGCCCTTTAAATCCGCAGCACATCAGATCCCCAAGGTCAGCAAGCGCTTACAAGGTCTAAGCTTTAGAGCATACGGGCTGAACCTTCAGACCCCAAAACCCTAAACCCTACTAACCACTCACTCTCAACCCTGGAGCCCAAAAGCCTAAGGGCCGAAACCGCTGAAGCCTAAAAACCCAAGCCCTAAACCCTAAGCCCCAAGCCCTAAGCCCTAAGCCCTAAGCCTAAGCCCTAAACCCTTAACCCTTAACCGAAACCCTAAACCCTGAACCCTAAACTAGGGCGTGCGCCCGGTGCGCCTTCCAGCCCTGGGTGACGTCAGGTCTTCACCCAAAACTCAGGTATAGGGTTAGGATCTAGAGGTTAGGATTTAGGGTTTACAGTTTAGGGTTTAGAGTTTAGAGAGTTTAGAGATTAGGGTTTAGAGTTTAGAGTCTTGAGTTTAGGGTGTACAGTTCAGAGTTTAGGGGTTAGAGTGTAAGAGTTTAGGATTTAGAGTTTAGGGCTTAGGGTTTTAGAGTTTAGAGTTTCGGGTTTAGAGTTTAGAGTTTAGGGTTTAGATTTTAGGGTACAGAGTTTCGAGTCTTGGGTTTAGGGTTTCTCTGGTCTCCCCCAAAACTCGGAGGGCTTAGAGTTTAGAGTTTAGGGTTTAGAGTTTAAGAGTTTAGGGCTTAGAGTTTAGGGTCTAGGGTTTAGAGTTAGAGTTCAGAGTTTAGGGTTGAGAGTGTAGGCTTCAGAGCTTAGAGTTTAGGGCTTAAGGTTTAGGGGATGCCCGAAACTAAGCTGTTGGCAGAACTCTGGTTCCCTCCAAAACTCAGGTTTCGAGTTTAGGGTCTACGGTTTACAGCAGAGTTCAGAGTTTAGGGTTGGTTTAATTAGGGTTTTAGAGTTCAAGAGTTTTGGGTTTCGAGTTAAGGCTTTAGAGTTTAGAGTTAGGGTTCAGGGTTTAGAGTTTAGGGTTCAGAGTTTGGAGTTTCGGGTTTGGAGTTTAGGGTTTAGGGTTTAGAGTTTCGAGTTCACGGTTTAGAGTTGAGGGTTTAGGGTTTAGAGTTTAGGGTTTAGAGTATAAGGGTTTAGGGTTTAGAGTTTAGGGTGTAGGGTTTAGAGTTTTGGGGTTTAGAGTTTGGAGTTTAGAGTGCAGAGTTGAGAGTTTAGGGCATAGGGTTTAGGACTTGGGCGTGGGGACGCCCAAAGCTAACCTGTTAGCAGACTCTGGTTTCCGCCAAAACTCGGGTGTAGGGCTTAGGAGTTTAGGGTGTAGGTTTAGGGTTTAGAGTTTAGGGTTCAGGGTTTGGAGATTAAGAGATTAGGCTCTAGAGTTTAGAGTTTAAGTGTTTAGGGTTTAGAGTTTAGGGTTTAGGGTTCAGAGTTTAGAGTTTAGGGTTCAAGGTTTAGAGATTAGAGTTTAGGGTTCAGTGTTTAGGGTTTAGGATTTTGGGGACGCCCACAGCTAACCTGTTGGCAGACTCTGGTCCCCCCAAAACTCGAGTTCATTAGGGTTTAGGGTTTCCGGTTTAGAGTTTAGAGTTCAGGGTTTAGGGGAGTTGAAGAGATTAAGGTTTAGGGTTTAGGGTTTAGGGTTTAGGGTTTAGGGTTTACGGTTTAGAGATTAGAGTTTAGGTGGGAAATCGCACTCTTGATAGGGGGATGGGGGGGCGGAGACAGCTCTAAACCCGTGAAAGTGGTGGTTTGGCTATTGTTTATCTTCGGATAACGTACTCGTTTTCCATGTTGTGCATACCAGTGTGTTACCCGTTGCATTGATGCTCTTAGCCCTCTGGAGAAAATAGGCGCGCCCTCCATGGCTTAACGGTATCTACTCTGTTTGGTGTGGTCAAACCTGAATCTATAGGTTATCAGCCGTAGAGCTGGTATCCTTGGGTTTGCGTGCAATCAGTGCATGAGTTCCTCTGAACTGGTACCAACAGAAGTTGCGACATCTGTGGTCGCCTCTAGCGACTTGGAGGACGAGATGGCGTCTCTGCCAGCAGAAGGAGAGCAGCTCTCAAACTTGGGAAGCCAAGGGTTAGCCACTCTTGGTAGCCCTGGGATCAACGTTTTCAGTGGCGCAGGAGAAACTCCTTTTAGACCCACTAACCCTAATGCTGCTACACCTATTGCTGCGCACTTGCATCTCCACAGGCAACAGTTCCAACAGAACATAGGTATCAACATAGGTTTGTCAGAAGATGAGGTCCGTGCACGACTTAGCTTACTAGAGTCTGAAGCTGAACGCAGGCACCAAGGCTTGATGGAAGCTATGAGAGCGACAGCTGAGCAGAATTTCGCAAACGCGGAAGAAGAAGCCAACAGCGTACACAGACAGGTTGTCGCGTCCCTTGAAGCAACACTTGCCAACAGTGAACTTGACAGCGCTAGAAACGCCGGTTTGCTGATGCAGGAGTTGAGGATGCGTGACCACCACCTGCAGAGTGAAGCACAAATGTACAGAAGCGCAAAACAAAGTTTTGAACGCAGTGAACAGTTGAGGGAGCAAAACCTCCAAGAAGTTGAGGGAGAGAAGCAGTTGGCATTGCTCCAGTTCGGGTCATACCTGAAGAAAAACTACGACGAGCATGTCGAAACGCTAAGGACTGAACTTGCAGAACTAAGGACTGAGTTTTCAGCAACTGAGGACGAGATGTATCGGCAGAACGATAGCCTCCAGGACGAGGTGTCATCCTTAGAGAACGCACTAAGGAGAGAGCAAGAGCAAGTCGCTCAGCTCCGCCACTTGCCTCAGGGCGTCACCGTCGGTACGAGTCAAGCGCCCAATCCGCTAACCCCTCAGATGCCAAATCCTTCAACACCTCAGTTCCCTAATCCGCTGTTCAATCAACCTCCTCAGCCAACATCGACAGGAACCCCAGGCTTTCAAGCCCCCGCAGGCCCAAGCTCAACAGACCCCGGTGTAATTCCGGAGTCACTAGGAGCATTAGCTGCTAGTTTCCTGAGCAACAACAACCAAGTCACTGCAACACCTCCTGGTCTTTTTCCCGCAGGTGCGCCCCAACCCTCAGGTATGCCGACGGCGTCAGCCGGACAGTTGCCTCCCGGGCTAGCTTCCCAAACCGGACAGCTGCTTGGTTCGCAAACTGCGGCCCCTGCGGGCACGCCGGGTAGCACGGGAGACCAAAGTACAGTAGCTTTGCAACAAGCGCTCTTAGAAGCTGCGAAGTTTTTAAAGGGTGAGAAAACCCCTGAAGAAGACAAGCCCAAAGTCAAAGAAGCCGATGTGGTCAAGCTCCCAGATTTTCCCAATCCGGAAACCTATCGCTCTTGGAAAACAGCTACAAGGGAAGCAGTAAGGGCTGCGTCTGATAGGCCGGATGCTGCTTTTAAGTGGATCCTTGAGGTCTACGAAAACGGAGCAAGCCACGAACAGCTAAGGGATCCCGGCATCTTCTTGACGCTGGATACCAAGATCCTAGCCGCTTTGACCAAGGTCGCCAAAGGCGAACTTGCCCGCCAAGTGCTCAACTTCAAGGAGTCTGAGGCAGTAGCAGGCAGGGCTGTGAGGGGTAGACAAGTTTTGTTCATGTTTGAGCAGCATTTCAAAACCAATGAAGCTGCGGGATCTCTTTACTCAGTAGAGGATCTTCTCAAGGTTGCACTGCTAGGTGACGACTTGACCACGTTCATCTACAACTGGGACTCTGTAGTGGCCGGTTTGAGTCACAAACCCGATGAAACCACGCTGAGAGATATCTTCCTTCGTCAAATCCGGAAGTCGACTAGGATGAAATATGACTTGGAAATTTACGATCGTGCCAAGGAGGGAACCTCCACGCATTCGTACGAGTTCCTGGTCGAATCGATTCGAAACCTTCTCAACCGCGAACGTATGCGGAAGAATCGAGATCGCATCGCTAAGTCGCATGGCGACCGATTCGGTGCTCCTGTCTTAGATCCTAGAGCCGGACGCCCCCCTTCGAGGGGAGGCCGGGAAAGAACTCCCTCACGTGGTAGCTCAAGGTCAAGAACCTCCTCGCAGAGGTCTCCCAGCAGATCCCCAGGTAGGTCACAAAGTCCCAAACGCGGTGTTTGCTACGACTTTCAAAAGGGCAAGTGCAAAAAGGGTGACAAGTGCAAGTATGAGCACAGAAAACGTGACCCAAGCCCGAAAGGAAAGTCCAAAGAAGTGTGTACCTTTTGGAAGAAAGGTAAATGCACTCGTGGGAATAAGTGTCGTTTTCTCCACAAAGACAGATCTCAGTCGCCTTCTGCGGCTCCCACTGCGGAAGCTGCGACACCAGCCTCAAAGCCCGAGAAAGCTAGGTCACCTTCCCCAGCGCCGAAGAACAAACGCAAGCCCAGCAGGGGACGTTCAAGGGAAAAGGACAAGCACGCAGCTTGCTGTGTGTCTTTCGCAGCCGCGGCCCCAGCTGGATCAAGGGAAGAGCCTAGTGTCAAGGGTGAGGATTACTGGGAGGTCGACTTCAAAAGAAAGGAGGTTGTGAGACACCATTGTTCCTACAGGTCAGAAATGTTTAACCCGACTTCGCAGGATTGCCCAATGGATCTTCGCAATGTGGGGAGCATGGCTGTTGCCGTCAAGACATTGCCAGTGGCCCCATTTGCTGAGAAAGAGTCGTGGAACTGGAGGTCCAAGCGATCACAACAGAACACGACCCCTTGGGTAGGCAAAACAGTCTTCAAAATCAAGGACCCAAATCGCAAGCTTAGGTTTAGTGACAAGGTCCGCGTTTACCAAGTCCCAATGGACAAATGCATCAAGTTGATTCGCAAGCCAAGACAGTTCTCTGTATGCTACTTAGATGAAAGGTCCTGCCCTAAATCATCCAAAGATGACAGAGAGTACGCCAAGAACGTAGCCTTAGAGTTGGCCAACGTCGTTCAAGCTTCGTTGCGTGGCGAAAGCGTAGACTGTGACTACGAGTGCGAGGACGAAACGTCACTCACATGCGAATGCTGTGAGAACTTCGGCCGCGCAGCCGAGCTCGCCTGTCCGAGTGCCGTCGACTACCTGGAGTTCCTTGCGGACACGGGCAGCGAAGAGGACCTTATCAGTCGCGCGGACCATGCAGCCCACTTTGGGGATGTGCCGGTGAACAGTGCCTCTAGGCATGTCAACCTTATTACCGCGAACGGTTCTATTAAGGGTGACAAGTCGGTGCAGCTCGAAGTTCCCGAATTTGGCGGAAAGTTGGAGTGTTACTTGCTTGACAGCACACCTCCTGTATTCTCTGTAGGCAGACGGTGTATGGAGGACGGTTTCGAATTTCATTGGTACCCTAAGAAAGCCCCGTATTTCATCTCGCCTGAGGGAAAGAAGCTTAGGTGTCGAGTGCGAGGTATGGTGCCAGTGATAGCCAGCGATACACTCGCAGCTCCTGCGATCCAGGAGGGCCCCACTAGTTCCGTAGGAAGCCAAGTCTTCAGTGTCCCGGAACCCCACGCAGGAAACAACTTGCGCTGTGGCTGAGGTTGACGCTGAGGGTTTTCAGGAGTAAGCCGCCCATATGGGTTGGCCGGGGTAAGCGAGGAAGCTGAAGAAGAGCCAGCGCCCGAGGTCGAGCACCCCGACCCCGAGGTTGAAGCTGCAGCAAAAGCGGTGCCCCCTATCGCAATCGACAGGGCAAAGCTCCTAAAGACAGGTTGGACTTCTGGTGTTGCCGGATTTCCTTACGTCATTGTGGGGCACAAACCCAAAACCTTTAGGACTCCAAGTCCCAAACACCCCCGGTGCGATGTCAGGACCACGTGGATCTTTCAGGACTCAGCATGGACTAAGGTCGAAGACAAGGTCCACATCCGTGAGCTTCCCAACAAGGCGGCCAAATTCGACAGGCCGTGCGCAATGAGCATTACGGTGTTCAGCATTTCGGAAGAGGATGACGTTGAGCCTGATAGTGACGCTGAGGAGCCAACTGCCCGGAGTCGTTCCGAGGCCGCTCTAAAGGCGGAAGCCATAAGTCTTGAGCACCAATTCACGCATAGACCAAAGAATCCTTTCTGTCCTGTTTGTCAACGCGCAAAGATGTTGGCCCCACAAGCCCGTAAGAAGGGTGGTTCGAGCACAATTGTTTCGGAGAGTTTTGGGGACCACATCACTGTTGATCACATCATCACGCGTGACCTTCGGGATCATGGCTTTCAGGACGAAAGAGTTGCCCTTGTCATCAAAGATGTCTTCTCGAAGTTCCGGTACGTTTACCCTTCACCCACTAAGTCTAGTGACCAATGTCATGAAGACCTCTTGCACTTCTTAGGGCAGAAGCATGCTGCGGGGGTGATGTACTCGGACAACGCCCAGGAGCTCAAGAAGGCCATTAAGGATCTCGGAATCAGACATAACACCTCGCGTGAGTATGTCGACTCCAACAAGTCCGTCATAGAACGAGAGATTCGTACAGTCTTAGAGGGTACCAGAGCTAATTTGACTCAGTCTGGTCTCCCTGAGAAGACTTGGCCACTTGCGGCTCAGCATCACACCATTGCTCTTAACGTCACCAAACGGTTGGATGACGGTGTTGTCCCTTGGGAAGCGAGGTATGGGGAGCCTTTCACGGGGATGATCATTCCGTTCGGGGCTAAGGTCTTGTTCCGGAACAACCCCAAACAAGGAACTCCTCCCACCACGAAGTTCGGCCCCACTGGGGTTGAAGGCATCTTCTTGGGATACCACATCCAGCCTGGTTTCATTTGGCGGGAAGAGTATTTGGTGACCCCTGTTCATAACTGCGAACAAATGTTCGAAACTGGGAATTTCCCTATCCTTCGTGCAAAACGACTTGAACTCATTCCAGGTGACTTTACCTTCCCCATGAGGCCGTCTGAAATTGCCATCAGGGACGCGACCGAGGCACCACGCCTGGAGGACCAGGACTGCGAGTGGGACCCGGATGCTCCTGAGTCATGGCCAGACACGAAGGGCGAGGGAGAAGGTAGTGCCAGGGATCAGGTTTCTGGTGTTGGGAAGGAGGTTGTCACTGAAAGCGTTGTTGCCCCCGAAATACCCTCAAGCTCTTCGGAAGGCATCGCAGCTAAGATGACCAAGCACGACCCCACTAGGATGCCCGATGGCAAACCTGTTCCCGCAGGGTACAACTGGGATGGTGTTCGTCTTGTCAGGAACAAGAGGGGCTCAAAGAGATCTCCTGACACGCCTTCAGAGTTCTGGCATATGTACTCCGCCAAGCAACGTGAAGAAGACATTGCCAGATACGAACGTAAGAAACAACTCGAAGCTGAAGAGGAACGCCGGAAGGTCGAACGCGAAGCTCCTGCCATGCCGGTTTGTTCCGAACCCCTCAAAGAAGAGCACAGAGACAGAATGAAGAAACTTTACTGGGATAAGCTTGGGTATATCGCGGGACAGCAACTTGCCCTTGTCGCCAGGGTGGTCGGAGCTAAGGAGATCGAAAGCACTCCGGCTGCTAAGGCTGCAATGGACAAGGAGTGGAAGAAGCTCTGCGATAAAGCCTGTTGGCTTGAGAAGAAGGTGCGGGAGTACCGAGATGTGGCGGCCGAAGCCCAACACAAGCAAACCAAGGCCCATTTTGGGAAGGTGTTTGAGATATGTTCTGTTAAGGGCGATGAGTTACCTGAAGGTCACCCCCAACGCAAATGGAAGGGGCGTAGTGTCTTCCAGGGAAACAACGTTCAAGATGAAAATCATGACCATGCCATCTTTGCAGAACTAGGCTCAAGCCCCGCAAGTATGGAGGCCGGTAAGGTGATTGATGTTTTCGGTAGCCAGCCAGGGTACTCTAAGCAGCAAGCCGATTCTCGCCAGGCGTACACCCAGGCCCTTTTCAAAGGCGTCGAGACCTGGGTCAGACTCCCTAGAAACCGGTGGCCCCCGGAATGGGAGAAGTTTGCTGATCCGGTTTGCCCGTTGCGCTTGGCACTTTATGGCCACCCTGATTCAGGGGGGATATGGGAGCAGCATTGTACCAAACAACTTGAAAGCATTGGCTTTACTGCTGTTCTCCCCGAGATTTGGCAGTCAGTATTCTACCATCCTGAATTAGATCTCCTTCTCGTAGTGTACGTAGACGACTTCAAGATGGCCGGCCCCTCTGCGAACTTGGAGGAGGGGTGGAAGCGTATCTCCAAGGTGATCGACATGGACCCTGCAGAGGCCCTAGGGAGGTATTTTGGCTGTCATCATCAGGAAGAAAATGGTGTTAAGTTGCCTAGAGAAGCGCACCCCTTTGCGTACGTCTTTGATAAGAAGCATGCTGCTGCCGCTGCCGGGGATAGCCCTGGGCCTACGAGGACCGAGGACTATTGGGAAGTTGACCCCGAACTCGCAGCTGTAGTCAAGCATCATGTTTACCCCAGAAAGCGCCTGTATGTGCCAACTGAAGATGATGTTAGGCGTTTTCCTACCATGTCTAACACTCGCATTACTCAAATGGACGGTGGCGAAACCTGGCACGATGATTTCAACGTAGCTAGGGACGCTCCCCAGAAGAGCTGGTGGACGGGGAAGACGTATTTTCCTCTTGTCGATATTGAACCCGAGGAGTTTCGCCATGCACTCGCAGCTAAGGCAGGGAAGGCCGGCAAACGGTCTAAGGCCGAAGCAAAGCGCGAAGCGAGGCAGAGCAGATTCAAGTCGACGGAGACCATCAGTGAAGGGACTATACCCGCTATGTCCAAACCGGTGAATGTCATGTATTACGATATGAAGGATTTTCTCATTTCGTGCGTTGACCGGTACTGTGAACTGGCAAAGGTTCCTAAATCTTCCCTGAAGAGCGTTGCCACACCGTTCCATGAAAACAAAATTGCAAAACCCCTAGATCCCAACGAGCCAGTTGGGAGACTCCAACCCATCGCTAGCCGCGTCTTGATGAAGGTGCTGTTTGCAGCAAGGATGGCTAGGTGGGACTTACTGCGTGCCACTCAGTCTCTCGCCTCGAGAGTTACCAAGTGGAGCAAGGACTGCGACGTGGGTTTGCACAGGTTGATGAGTTACATCAATTCGAGTTTGGATCTTAAGATGAGAGGGTTCATAGGTGATCGCATTTCGGAGTGTAAGCTGTGGATGTTTTGTGATGCAGACCATGCTGGCAGTCATGATAGCAAATCCACCTCCGGATGCGCACTCTACCTGGTAGGCCCGAACACCTACTTTCCCCTCAACGCCTTTTCTAAGAAACAAACAAGCATTACCACGTCCAGCACCGAAAGCGAAGTGGTCGCGGCCAACCACGGCATCAGAGCCCAGGGGCTTCCAAGCCTCAGCCTATGGATGTTCTTATGGAAGGAAGTGCTGATCGCAGCCGACCATAAGGTTAGGCCGAAGAAACCACCCACTTGGACTAGCAATGACGTGGTAGCTCGGATTGACCCTGAGATTGATGAGATTCGATACGGCGATGTGCTCCCTGATGGCAGGTCCGTTGCGGATCTTAATGGGCTTCAGGTGCACTTGAGTTCCAAATTCTCTGTTCAGGTGTTAGAAGACAACCAAGCTACGATCGTCATTCTGCTTAAAGGGGATAGTGAGAAGCTGAGGCATACCGACCGGACGCAACGTATTTCGTTTGCCTGGTTGAAACAGCAGTTTGAACGTGAGTTCTTTGATCTCATCAACGTCGACACCAGCGAACAGGTAGCTGACATCTTCACTAAGCCGTTTGCTGATCGTTCTAAGTGGGAACACGCATTAGGTCTGATTGCACACGTGTGGACTAAGGATCAGGGGGGTACTGGCAAGTTCCCCAAGAGTACTGCACCTCAGGAGCCTACACCTGTTGTTCACGCTCACCCTGTGGTGCAGCCGGAGGACGCTGGTCACTTGGCTCAGCAACTCTCCAAAGATCGCAATCACACGGCAAAGGCCTTAGAGCAGTTAGCTGCTTGCATGTACCCCACTAAACGTAAAACCCGACGTAAGATGATCAAAACCGACCCTAAAGGCTACTACCACATTTTTGGGCAGTGGACCTACGGCGGGATGCAGGGCATCACTAAGGCTACTCAGGAGTGGAAGACGATTGCGCAATACCTCAACGACTTTGCGCGTGCACATGCACCTCCAGATTTCACCTGGACGTCGCTGGTGTTTAACAACAATTCGCAGTCTAAGGTTCACTCTGACAGTCACAATGCAGGAGGGAGTAAGAACTTCGTTTTCAGTGTTGGGGATTACTCAGGTGGGGAAATTTGGGTAGAAGACAATTCGGTTTCCGACAAGGACGCAGTGTACAAGGTCGATGCGAAAGGCAAGCGACTCAAGGGAAGTCCGCACCCTAGTTTAAGGAAAGCCTTCCTCTTTGACCCCAAAAAGAAGCACTGTGTTCTCCCTTACCAAGGTCGTAGATACTCCGTAGTTGCTTACACTGCCCTTTCCCACCAGAAGCTCTCCTCCGAAGAACGTCATCTCCTCAGTGATCTCGGTTTCAGGCTACCTCGCGTGGAAGCGACAGCTACGCCTGCCCGAGAAAGCTCGAGGCCGCAGGGATTCAACCGAGTCATCGTTGAGTTTTGCTGCGGACCTGATAGCAAGTTAGGAACCCCTCGTCCTGCTAGCGAAGGCTGTCATGTTCATCGTGTAACCATCCAAGATGATGCTACTCGCAATTCCACCATCCACAAACTAGTCCAACACACCCGCGCCCTCTGCGACGAGGGGGGAGATACGACGAAACCGATTTTGGTGTATGCGTCGCTCCCGTGCACTGGTGGTAGTCCATGGAAAAAGGAAGTACCCCGTGCTCGTCATCTCGCAAGGATTGCTTGCGGGAAGTGCGGAGTCCTCCGTCTTGAAGGGCAGCACATATGCTTCAGCTGTGGCGCTGGGGTAAATCAGAAGAGCTCCCAACAAACGTTGAGGACGTTCCTGGCCGCCTCCCGCGAGTCCATCTACCAGTCTGCAGCAACTGAGCTCGGCATCAACATCACAGAGCTGTGTTCGGCCGATCTCAGGAGCTCCCAAGCAGGGTGGGAAGCCGATATTCGCGGAGGACTCTCCTTTGGCGCACACGCCATAGAGAACGCCAGGAAGTGGGTCAAGCTGCGCAAGAAGCACGGCTTCCACGGCTCCGCCGATAAATTTGACAACGTGGACGAGTATGCCTTGAAGTCATTGAAGGCGGGACGCAGCCGCAGGATGTGCTGCGTGGATGACTGCCTCGTGAATGCATACTTGCCCAGTGCCGGGCGGAGTTGGGAGCAAAGAACCCTCGGTTACGGCTCTCGGGCTGGAAACCGCGGGGACGCCAACAGCTTGGCGAGGCTCACATTTTTCACCGCAAGTGCGGATGACATGGTAGCAGCGAACTTGATCGCACAACACAAGGATCCTCTTTTTGCGATTGAGTGGCTGGGAACTTTCCTTAACACCTCCGACTTCATCAAGGTGTGCACCTCGACCTTCACTGGTGATGTGGCAATCCCTGATCCGAAGGAGCGGGATCTCACTGAGTGGGTGCAGACGTTGCTAAGCAACCAACTCCCCCACGCAGAGCGCTTCGTCCAAGAGAAGGAGAAGGACAAGGAGAGGGCCCGAGCCGCTCAGCCCAAAACGGCCACTGCCCCCTACCGTGCAGAGAAGGGCAGAGGCAAAGGATCGGGCCAAACGACTCAACACTCACGAGCTCCCCAAAGTGGGGAAGCCGGCGGTTCGCGCAACCGAGGCCAAAGCAGCAGTCGCTACTGGGATGATCGTTCCTGGAGCGACAACTACTGGGGCCGAGGATGGCAGCAAGAGCACCGGCCGCCATGGCGATACGATCGCTACAATCGTGAGTGGTGAAGGCCTTATACCCGTTTTTCCAAACCGAAGTGTTTGCATGTTTCTTTTGCAGGCATCATGTATCCCCGCCGGTGTTTAAATTTCTCAATCCGGTGCGCGGCGATCGATGCTTAGGCCGATCCCGAATTCAAAGGATCACCACAGAGCTGAGCTTCGCAACTTTCGCGAAACACACGCAGTGGATGTCCACTTGCCGGTTTGCACATAGCGCACCTCATCGATTAGACATCATTCGGTGAGGGGGGTATTGTTTATCTTCGGATAACGTACTCGTTTTCCATGTTGTGCATACCAGTGTGTTACCCGTTGCATTGATGCTCTTAGCCCTCTGGAGAAAATAGGCGCGCCCTCCATGGCTTAACGGTATCTACTCTGTTTGGTGTGGTCAAACCTGAATCTATATTGGCGGCCTTCGACCCATCTTTGGGGCGCAGCTGTGCTGCTGGGAAAACCCCAGACCCTGTATACCCCCTTAAACCCTACACCCTAAAACTCTAAAACCCTAAAACCCTAAACCCTAAACGCCTTAAACCCTAAACCCTAAAACCCTAAACCCCCTACCAACCCTGAAGCCCAGAAAGTTAAGAACAGACAGCGCCGAAACCTAAAAACCTTAAGGCTCTGAAGCTCCGAAACCCGGGCCCGGGCAGAGCCGAAACCACCAGAGGCCCCAACCAGTTCGGGAAAGTAGCGCTAGTTTCCCGATCTCTCGGAGGCCCATTTTGGACCCCCCCCTGTCGACCTTTGGGCCTGCCCTCTGGTGGTTTCGGCTCTGCCCGGGCCCGGGTTTCGGAGCTTCAGAGCCTTAAGGTTTTTAGGTTTCGGCGCTATTTGTTCTTAACTTTCTGGGCTTCAGGGTTGGTAGGGGGTTTAGGGTTTTAGGGTTTAGGGTTTAAGGCGTTTAGGGTTTAGGGTTTTAGGGTTTTAGAGTTTTAGGGTGTAGGGTTTAAGGGGGTATACAGGGTCTGGGGTTTTCCCAGCACCACAGCTGCGCCCCAAAGATGGGTCGAAGGCCGCCAAACCACCACTTTCACGGGTTTAGAGCTGTCTCCGCCCCCCCATCCCCCTATCAAGAGTGCGATTTCCCACCTAAACTCTAATCTCTAAACCCTAAACCCTAAACCCTAAACTCTAAACCTTAATCTCTTCAACTCCCCTAAACCCTGAACTCTAAACTCTAAACCGGAAACCCTAAACCCTAATGAACTCGAGTTTTGGGGGGACCAGAGTCTGCCAACAGGTTAGCTGTGGGCGTCCCCAAAATCCTAAACCCTAAACTCTAATCTCTAAACCTTGAACCCTAAACTCTAAACTCTGAACCCTAAACCCTAAACTCTAAACCCTAAACACTTAAACTCTAAGCTCTAGAGCCTAATCTCTTAATCTCCAAACCCTGAACCCTAAACTCTAAACCCTAAACCTACACCCTAAATTCCTAAGCCCTACACCCGAGTTTTGGAGGAAACCAGAGTCTGCTAACAGGTTAGCGTCCCCAAGCCCAAGTCCTAAACCGTATGCCCTAAACTCTCAACTCTGCACTCTAAACTCCAAACTTCTAAACCCCAAACTCTAAACCCTACACCCTAAACTCTAAACCCTAAACCCTTATACTCTAAACCCTAAACTCTAAACCCTAAACCCTCAACTCTAAACCGTGAACTCGAAACTCTAAACCCTAAACCCTAAACTCCAAACCCGAAACTCCAAACTCTGAACCCTAAACTCTAAACCCTGAACCCTAACTCTAAACTCTAAAGCCTTAACTCGAAACCCAAAACTCTTGAACTCTAAAACCCTAATTAAACCAACCCTAAACTCTGAACTCTGCTGTAAACCGTACTCGAAACCTGAGTTTTGGAGGGAACCAGAGTTCTGCCAACAGCTTAGTTTCGGGCATCCCCTAAACCTTAAGCCCTAAACTCTAAGCTCTGAAGCCTACACTCTCAACCCTAAACTCTGAACTCTAACTCTAAACCCTAGACCCTAAACTCTAAGCCCTAAACTCTTAAACTCTAAACCCTAAACTCTAAACTCTAAGCCCTCCGAGTTTTGGGGGAGACCAGAGAAACCCTAAACCCAAGACTCGAAACTCTGTACCCTAAAATCTAAACCCTAAACTCTAAACTCTAAACCCGAAACTCTAAACTCTAAAACCCTAAGCCCTAAACTCTAAATCCTAAACTCTTACACTCTAACCCCTAAACTCTGAACTGTACACCCTAAACTCAAGACTCTAAACTCTAAACCCTAATCTCTAAACTCTCTAAACTCTAAACCCTAAACTGTAAACCCTAAATCCTAACCTCTAGATCCTAACCCTATACCTGAGTTTTGGGTGAAGACCTGACGTCACCCAGGGCTGGAAGGCGCACCGGGCGCACGCCCTAGTTTAGGGTTCAGGGTTTAGGGTTTCGGTTAAGGGTTAAGGGTTTAGGGCTTAGGCTTAGGGCTTAGGGCTTAGGGCTTGGGGCTTAGGGTTTAGGGCTTGGGTTTTTAGGCTTCAGCGGCTTCGGCCCTTAGGCTTTTGGGCTCCAGGGTTGAGAGTGAGTGGTTAGTAGGGTTTAGGGTTTTGGGGTCTGAAGGTTCAGCCCGTATGCTCTAAAGCTTAGACCTTGTAAGCGCTTGCTGACCTTGGGGATCTGATGTGCTGCGGATTTAAAGGGCCAAAAAACGAAAACGGTAAGACCCTCCAGCTTGGGCCTTATCAACCCTAGAGACCCTATATAGACCCGAAGCCAAATAACACCAGAAGCCCGGAACACTAAACCCTCGTTTAAAAAAGAATCGAGACCCTGAACCTTCCAGACCCTCACCCGAAACGGTAGACCCACCCTGAATCTATGCCTTTTTCCGAACAAACTAACAGCCTAATTCAGGGTCGGACGGGTCTTATAAGGACTTAGTCTGTAGGTGGAATTGGTGCCAAAGGAAAGAATCCAAGACCTCAAACAGCCCTAGACCGGTTGGGTCTTGGCTTTTCCTACACAAACATGTACATGACCTGCCCAATTTCATCTGTCTGTTGGTTTCTATAGGAAAAGCCAAGTCGCAACCGGTTGCGTCTTGGCTTTTCCTGTACAAACATGTACATGCTGTTGTTTTCGCAAGGAAAAGCCAAGTCGCAACCGGTTGCGTCTTGGCTTTCCCATGCATTTTACATGACCTGTCCACTTGCGTCTGTCAATTGTTTTCTACAGGAAAAGCCAAGTCGCAACCGGTTGCGTCTTGGCTTTTCCCATACAAACATGCACATGACCTGTCCAAGTGCATCCACCTGCTGTTTTCTGTAGGAAAAGCCAAGCCGCAACCGGTTGCGACTTGGCTTTCCTGTAGAAAGTGTACATGAACAGACATTTGCATTTCTAGGGGACAAGCCAAAGTTGCGACTTGGCTTTTTTCGTTTTAAAATGTGACCTGGCCAATTGTATGTATATGCTGTTTTCTATAGCAAAAGCCAAGTCGCAACCGGTTGCGTCTTGGCTTTTCCTAAATCCTGCACATAAATTTGATCTCAGCCTCCATGCTGCCGGAGATCGGCAAAGGCCACTTGTGCCTCAGGCATTTTTGACTCGGGTGCTCTGTCTGCTTGCGCTTCTGATTGCTTGCATGTCTGGGCAGCGCTGACTGATGTCTCAGGGCTCTGTGCTTCCACGTTCCTGCTTGGCTCTGTCCCAGAGCTTCTGTTGTTCTACTTTGTCCCAGAGTTGTTCATGTTGCGCTCTGTCCCAGAGCTTCTTTGGTGCTACTCTGTCCCAGAGTATTTCATGTTGTGCTCTGTCCCAGAGCTTTCATACTGACTGAGCTCTGTCCCAGAGCATTTGATGGATGTGTTTCTTCAATCATAGCTCTTGACAGGTCACCTTGGGGGGTTTGGGGTGTAGGGTTTGAGGGTTCAGAGGCTAGGGTTAGGATTTAAGGCGTGTAAGGTTCAGGCCTCAGTGCTGCAAGGTGTGGTTGAGGGTGTAGGGGTTAAGGTTTAGGGGTTCGGGGCATGAGATGAAAGAGGCAGAACCACTTGCTACATCATTGTTGTACCTCGCTTTTCGACCGACATGAATTAAAAGAATATTCTTTGTGTGTGTGTGTGTGTGTGTGTGTGAGATTAACCATTTTTCTGTCCTGCCCAGAACATAACAACAAGATGTGGCTCAAAGAATCATGAAAGCTCGGTATTGGCCTTTTAAAGCTTAGTCAAAAAATGTGTTCTCTCCCATCTATCAGCAATTGCTTTGAACTGTGCTGGTCTCACCTCCCCTATGTGGGGCTTGCAGAAGACCTATCAGGCCGACTTTCAGGGTTTCCACAGAGGGCCATTTAACCCCTAAACCCTGAACCCATAATCACCCAAATAGACCAAAAAAGGGGTCTCTGAAAGCCTCCATTGGGGGTTTTTTGTTCACAATCACCCAAAAAATGGAATTTAAGAACCCCCAGACCAGAATTTAGGTTACCGCGGCCAGGGTTTTTATCTTGCCATGTCGTATCATAAGGACTATAGGGCAAAACTGCGCCACTTTGTTCTTGCGCCGGAAATCTGTGTTGCCATGTCGTATAGGGCCTAAAGAGGAAAAAAGCGCCACTTTGTTACGTCCAGTTTTCCTCCAGACGTGCTCGCGCCAAAAACTTATCTTGCCATGTCGTATCATAAGGACTATAGGGCAAAACAGCGCCGCTTTGTTACGGCAGGTTTTCCTTCCAGGTGCGCTTGCGCCGGAGATCTGTGTTGCCATGTCGTATAGGGCCTAAAGAGGAAAAAAGCGCCACTTTGTTACGTCCAGTTTTCCTCCAGACGCGCTCGCGCCAAAAACTTATCTTGCCATGTCGTATCATAAGGACTATAGGGCAAAACAGCGCCACTTTGTTACGGCAGGTTTTCCTTCCAGGTGCGCTTGCGCGGGACATCTGTGTTGCCATGTCGTCTAGGGCCTAAAGAGGAAAAAAGCGCCACTTTGTTACGTCCAGTTTTCCTTCCGAAAATTCATCTTGCCATGTCGTATAGGGAACAAAACAAAAGCGCCACTTCGTTGCGGCAGGGTTTCCTTCCAGAAGTGCTGGCGCCGGAAATTTGTCTCGCCATTTACAAAAAAACGCCCACTTTGTTACAGCGAGATTTCCGGCTGCCATGTCGCATAGGGAAACAAGCGCCACTTTGTTGCGGCAGGGCCACTTAGTTCCGGCGCCCGCGCCTCTATTTTTGCAAGGTGTGGCACGTGCGCAGGGCCGGCGTTGCCAGGGTAGATGCAGTTCTCACTACTAACTGTGTAGCGATTGCAGAAATCTTCAACACCAAAAAGGATCTTGCAGGAACCCGATAAAGACAAAAAGTCTAATCGCAAAGCATTTGGGACTTCCTCTTGGTTGGGGTTCAGGGTTTACGGTTAAATGCTGTGCAGAGCGTTTCTCGGGGCAGCGATCCCATTTCTGAGCCTTGCAGGCTAATAATCCCCACACCTAAGCCTTAAACATCCGCAGAAACGGGCGCTATTGTGCTTTCGTCCTATAAACCCGAGGCTGACAACCCAGCAATGTTAATCCACGCTGGACCCTCCTCCTGTGTTCAGGCTAAGGTTTTGGTTTCGACATGGTTTGGCATGTTGAAGAATTCGCATGCAACCCTGTATCTTTCTACAGCGGACAATTACAAACGCCACTGACCACAAGGATGCCATGGCAGAGGTCGAGGAGCTGGCAGAACATCTTCGTTCTGCAGTCAAGCGCTTATCGAAGAGTCACGCCAGGGAGATCGAGGATGCCAAGAAGGTCGAGTGTCTGACTGAGAAGGTTGCCAGCTGGCAGTCGGAGCATGCCGCGGCACTGGAGAGAATCGCATCCCTTGAGGCCAAGGGCAACGAGGACCTGCGCAGTTTGGCGTATTGGAAGTCCGAGCACGCAAAAGCTGTAGCAGAAGCTCGACTACCTTCGGAAACGAGTGTAGTTTTTGTCGTAATATCATGTACTAACCCTGAACCCTAAAGCCTAATTCCTAAAACTCAATAGGCTGTAGCACTTTTTGAGAACAGTTGAGGAAGCACGTGACGCATCGCAAGCTGCGGAAAGAGAGAAAGCCGCGATGCTCCGGCCCCTGGGACTGCCTTAGCTCATCAGAGCTGCAGTATAGAGCTATGGATCAGGGTTTAGGGTGAGGGGTTTAGGGTTGAGAAGAGCGAGAGAGAGAGAGGGCGTGGTGCGGGGTTCAATCTGGGGTCAGGGGGCACTAAGGACCTCTAAGGCACGGGGACTAACGCCAAGCCCATCCTGATCTCCCCGAATCAATCTGAGGATCCCCGAATACCGGGGCAGGCGCACAGCCAGGGGGTTCGCCCCCACGCCCCCAAGAAAGGAAAGAAAGAGAACTCCGCTTCGGGGGACCCCAAAAGGGTCCACCCCAACCGTGCTGACTTAGTCAAGGCATTGGCGGTCTCTTTACAACCCCTCTGCAGACCAGCTGACTCTGATTGCAACCAGAAGGCTGTTTTAGAATGTAGCACCTCAAAGCCCCTAAGCCCTAAACTGTAACCCTTAGGGTTAGCTAAGTCAGAGCTGATGCCCAGCATTTACATATGTTTGAGTTTAGGGCTTGGGGGTTGGGATGGGGCTGGACTACTCCCGCCCCATCTTACATGAATTTCCCACCCTCGTAGATGAGACACTTGGTGGTTTTTTCGTTGCTCCGGGGGTTGGGGCTGGACCCCACTGACCCCACACCCAGAATCCCAAACTTATGGCTTATGAGGCCCCCAATCAGAAGCCCAAGATCGCTCGAGGCGACACTGTCTATCGATCCAGGCCCGCGATTGATCTGAGATGAGCCCAACAATCAGACTTGCTCGTAAACCTCAACCGAAACCTAAACAAGATTTCCGGGTTTGTAAGGTTATGGGTTATCGTCCTGGAGCAGGTCGTGCACACAAACATGAAAGAGGTCAGCCAGGGTGACTCTCGTGATAACCCGGAGGGTCCACCTGCATGTAGTACCATGACGGAGTTAGGCACCAAGAGCCGGATTTAGTATGGTTTTCCTGTACCGAATTCTGGCTTCATCCTCAACCGAAAGCCCTCAAGCCTGTAAAACCCTAAAGCCCTAAATGCTGGCCGGGCGGGACATCGTTCAGCGAGTGTGGGCGGCAGGACCTGCGGCGCGAGCAGGCGCGGCTCAATGTCGGGGCCTTCAGTTTGGGTTTGGGGTACAGGAAGGGAGTAGGTGGAAACCCTACTGGCCCAAATTCTGAGTGCTTGGAATTTTAACTTAACATGAGTATCCCAAAACAAGTCCCTCCTAGATGGTACACTTGGTGATTTTTTTGTTGGTGGGGGGTTGGGGGATGTTTGGGAGAGGGGGTCCGTCGGCCCTCGCAGGACCAAGCTGTTCCCCTGGGACAGCGTCGCCGCGCAGCTGCTGTACCACTCTCATCTTTGCGCGGGCCAGGCCAGCGATGCATGGCATGTGGGAGTCATTTGGTGGACCCCGCACCGAAACCCTAAACGCAAGGCTTATGAGGGCCCCCAACCACCATGCCGCCCAAGGTCACTTCAGCTAAGTGCTATCCTGGTTTACGCCTGCAGCTTTGTCACTGCTGACGTAACATAATCTACATGCGATGCATCATGATGTTAACATCGCTTCTTCAATATCATGGAGTCATAGCCAATGTCATTCTAATCAGAATAATCATCGTCGTCATCATCAGAATCATTACCATCGGGAGAATTTGATATCGTACATGCTATGTTGGTGGTGGTGCAGTTCGCCAACATCACCATCAAGACTCGTAGCATGATGCTCTGTATTCGCCTTACCTTCATTAGTACCATTCGCCCCTCCTGCTTGTCCTCTTCATCACTTTGGTTAATCGAACTATTGTAAGGAAAGGCCCACATCTTCAATATCATGGAGTAAGCAAGCATCATCAGCATCGGTACCACCAGCACCATCATCGATTGGTCCGAGCGGCTTTGGCGACGGTGGCGTGGTGTTGTTTGGTGCTGATGTGGTGAGGCCTCAAGTGTAGCTCTGGTGGTGGTCGCGCGAGTTGGTGATGGTGGTTTTCGTGGCGACGGTGATGTTGTGGGTTTTGGTGCCAGGAGCTCCTCAATTTGGGGGAACTGCGGCCTCGGTGATCTCGCAAGTTTGGTTGTGGGGCTTCGGGCTTAAAGTCTCCAAGATCATAAACCTGAGCCCCGAATCCTAAGCCTCAAACCTGAAGTCACTGCCGGAAGCCCTGCCGCCGGAGAAATGGTAGGAATCTGCACTCCCGGTTTCCAACCCTCCTGGAAGCATTTAAGCCCTAGACCCTTCTCATCCCTCAACGATTGAGCCAAGCGCCTCAATCCACCCAACGTGCGAAGGAGAGCGATGATTTCTGCTGTCACTTAATTAATTGACGAGCAGCGTTGCAGCAACACTTGCGGTCCCGGAGAAGTATTCCAAGCTTGTCCGTGCCGACCCTAGGCCTAAGCCCTGCACCTTATGTGCTCTCTACGTCAACCGCCAAGTTGCCAACCTGCGCAACACTGCAAAAGTGGCCTGGGCAACAGCCATCGTAGAACGTAGAACGGTCTTATCTATCGCTAAAACCTTAAAAGCCCAAAAGCGCAAACACGCCAAAGCCATAAAACTCCAAACCCCAAACCCACATAGCCCCGCTGACGCCTGAAGTCCACGGTTCAAACTTGAAGGACGGAGGCCTGTGGCAGTTACGATCCCTGTTTGGGAGGATATGCTGAAGACGGGAACCTCAAGGTTGAGAAGGAGAGTTAGGACCCATTAAGGAGTTTAGGGTCTAGGGTTTACGGTGGTGCCTGAAAGGGTTTTGGGGCATTTGGAGTTGTAGTAGGGTCTGAGATGAAGAAGGCCAAAGAGCGAGGCCCTTAGAAAAAAGGGCTCGAAAAGAGAACCTTATCAGCAGGGCTCGGCGCCCAGCAGATCACACAGAGCCAATGCCGCGAGACTGCGAAAAAAGCACCCCAGCCCCCCTAAAACCCCCACAGCCCCTAAACCGTGGACCCCCCAAATCAAACGTAAACCTCCAGGAACCCTGAAGAAGGACATTGCGAAACCGGCCGGACAGCCAGGGATCTCCAACCCGGCGCCTCGGCGTCTGAAGCTGGGCACGGGATGCAGCGGAGCTTCGTTACTTTCTGAAACGAATCTCTGACTGTCTATGAGTGTTGGGAGCACCGCACCATGAATGAATGGATGGATGATTGAGGATTCCTCCTCATCTTACCCATGAAACACATTATAGAGGACACCCTATTCTTGTATTCGATTGGGATTTCCGATTTTCCGAGAATACTTGTATATCCACATTGAATATAAGAAAGCGGTATTCGAGGATTACATATTATGGCATATATGGTAA